AAGCGAACAAGAAGAGCCGAAGGGTGGGGCGGACACGGCAGCTCGGAGCTCCACCGTGCTGCCTGGGCCGCCAACGCCGCACACAGGCACGGCGGAACGGGAAAACGGGCGGAAAAGACCAGGCCGGGTCGGGCATCCAGCAGAGAACGAAGGGGGGGCGCCCCCAGATCGCAACTCCTTGCCGACTCACGATCTGGACTTGAGACGAAGCCAAGACGAGGATAACATCGGGTGATAATAAATCGAGAAGCTTTGAGATCCGGCTGCGTTCCGGAACGCTCTGAGAGCGTTCGGGAACAATCTGGCACATATTTGTCTTCGTCCTAGCCCCATCAGGCAGCTCCTGGCCGACCCACGCTCTCGATTACTCAGGCCAGCACTCGCTGGTCGAGTTGGCGGCGCCATGCGCGCGCATCGCACGGCATCCCCCTGCTCCTCATTAGCTTCCCTCCATGCCGTCAGTATCCTCGACGGCCGGAATCTGCTCAAGTATCGTCCTCTGGCAGACTCTCCGGCCATCTTGCGGGACGCAACAAGGAGTATGGCCCAAACGCAGCCCAAGATGGTCTTGTGTCCACCAGGTCCCCCCGCGGGGACACCAGCCAAACACCACCACTGGGTCACAGCGACCCACATAGAGGCCATGTTGAGGTCGAGGCCACACTGGCGAAAGCAACATCCCCAGGCGCGTTCCTGCTATGGTCCAGGAGAATATCTTGCCCTAGCTGCAGCCGTGCCGAAGCCACAGCGAGCCCCCCCAACGGCGAGGGCCTCAGCCTACCCCCAACCATGAGCCCTGCACCGGTCTCAAGGACTTCGCGCCCATGTCGAGGCCGTGCTGAAAACCTCACGGTGATGACCCGAGCTAGAGTCGGCCCGTATCAGAAGGATGCGCGATGTAGATGCAAGGGCCTCGGACGCCCATCTCGAAGCTTTCCGAGCGGGGCGCGGCCGACGAACGTGGCCAAGGATGGGCCGAGGAGGCAAGGATGCAAGGGCACCCTTGGGAAAGATGCCCATCCTTACCATGCGGGTGGACTGCACCCCTGCCCACGCAAAGTCCCCGCAGATGCGCCGTACGTGTCGAGTGCCGAGTGGCCGCCCTCGCGTCGACGACCTCCGCATCCCCCACACGTGGTTCTCGCAGAGCTCTCAAGGACGCCGTACCATGCCATGTTCCCGCGAGGGCAAAGTCCCCTGATACGTCGAAAGAGAAATTCTTGGTAATGTGCAAGAAAGAGGTGAAAAGATGCATCGCAATCCGCATGCCCCTGTGATACATCCTGGTGGTTCTCAAGAATGGCGTCGAGGATTTCTTGCCCAGGCTGAAACAGTGTTGAGCCCGAGCGGCGAGGGCCCCATACCCTTGCGTCGGGCGCGTCCCACTACAAGAGGGATGTTCAAACATGGTCAACAAATAATAGGGGGGCAGTTGTTTGAACATTGTTGAACACGTTTGACCGTTGTCATCTGTCTTCCAAAATCCGCCTGCAGGAGGACATGCCCGACCTGACCACACACCCCACGCTACGGCGAGGACACCGCCCGTGTTCCGTGCCACGGCGAGGACCGCGGCCCCCCCCGTACACGTTTTTGTTTTTGTCCCCAAAACTGCTCCCCTCCAAAGGCCCCTCGCCCCTGCCGGCCGGGGCCCACGCCGACACTGCGATGTGCACACACACACACACACACACACACACGCACACGCACACGCACACGCACACGCACACCGCACGCACAGCCCCGGGGGGGGAATCGGGGAGCACCCGGCTCGTTGGGAACTGCTCCCCTCCAAAGGCTTCTCGCCCCTGCCGAAGCCCACGCCGACACTGCGAGGTGCACGCGCCGCACGCACAGCCCCGGGGGGGGGGGGAATCGGGGAGCACCCGGCTCGTTGGGGGCCCACGGACGCAGGCAGAGACATTCCTGGGGCGAGCGCACGCGCGGAGGAGGAGGAGGAGGAGGAGGAGGAGGAGGAGAAGGAGGAGGAGGAGGAGGGGGAAAAGGGGAATGCGGAGGGGGGAGGAGGAGGAGGAGGAGGAGGAGGAGGCCTGGCAACTCCCCAGCCTCCTGAGAAGGCCTTCTGCTTCTCACTTCCCCCCACGGGCTCGCCGCCGAGCCATCCCTCTCGTGATTGGGCAAGCCCCAGGCACACACAGGCCGCCATCCCTCTCTCCTCCCCACCCGCCCCCTCCACCTCATCCTTTGCCTTGTCCACGAGAAAGCACGAGGAACGTCAGATCGACAATCGGCTACACACAAGAACAATCCTGGGCAAGAGTGGCCTTTGGTGCGCGCCTCTCGGGGGGCCGCGGGGAGGCCAAACGCGAGCACGCAGGACGCTGCCTTCGCATCGCGCTCAATCACCTGAGGACCTTGTGTACCCGCACCAGAGGTCACACCGGCGAAAGATCACTCTTGCGTGTAGCCCTCAGGAGGGCTATTCCGCCCCCTCCACCACGTCCGACCACGTCGACGGCCAACGACAGACGGCTGGCAACGTCGACCGCCGCAGACGGCGATGACAGCCGATTTGCCGACGACAACAAAAGGGGGGCGACGACGGCGATGACGCCTGGCGACGACTGCATGCGACCGAAGACCAGCGACGACTGCATGCGACCGATGACCGACGACGACCAAGGAAGGAGGCGGACGACCGATGTCAACGAAACTACACGCACGACGACGACGGCGGCAACGTCGCGGGCAATCCTCGGAGACGGTGTCGTACTCGAGGCCACCCTCGGACTTCCTCCGCGTGGCCTTCTTGTCCTGCGGATGGCGGGGGGGGCCATGGGGAAGAGGAGGAGGTGAAGGAGGAAGGACGGATGGAGGGTGGGGCGGAGAGGAGAGAATTCTGTTGGCTTGCGCGGCCTCAGGGGTGGCTAGTCCCTATTGCGGGAAGCCGAGAGGTTATCTTTTCCGGCAATCTTGCCTGGGGGCCTTCTTTGACACAGCATCATCCACCCGGAACTGCTGCCGGAAACAAACGCCACCACACGACGCCATACCCCTCTAGCTGGAGCCTACCGGTCAGGAGAAAGGGGGAGGGAGGGAAGAGATGGAGAAAGAGAGAAGAGGAGGAGGGGGAAGAAGGAAGTAAATAGGTGAGAGGAGAGGAGTGGGGACAGAAGAGGAAGCAGATGAGCTGATGAAAGGAAAATAAGTAGAGGGCAGATGAGGGGGAGGAAGGAGAGATAGAGGGAAGTGGAGTGAGTATCACAATGGAACCAACACGTTCCTCTGATGCTGCAGTACACGCTCCCTGCCCGAGATCTTTCTGCGTGACTGGATGCAAGAATACGCGCCCTTGCAATTGGGCGAGTGCCTACTGGAAAGGAGAGGGTCCTGCAAGCATGCACGGTGCGGCCATCCATGCATGCGTTTTGAAACGAGCATCGGCATGAGTGTGATTGCACAGCCGCCTGACGTTGAAACCATAGCGAGTTGGGATAGAATTACCCTCCGTTGTATGCCTGATCGAGGTGCTCAGGACACGTACACCCTCCATGAACAGAAAAACTATGTCTGGAAAGCGCACTCACCCAGTCGTACACATGCTGTAGGGATCAAGCTGGACCGTAGCTAGTTATTGTGATTTTATTCTAAGAAACGCAGCCCGAGAGCAAGAGAGGAAATCAGGCCCGCAGTCCGTGGAGAGAGACTGCCAATGTGTCCAGGCATGTGTGGTGAGCCTCACAGTGGCGTTCGCGCGGCGCGTACCACACACCACGGAGGCATGGGTGAGATAGAGAAAGTGGGAAGGACGAGGACAAGGAGGAGGAGGTATCTAGTTCTTGAAACTTATCTCGGAGGCTGGTTTTACCACCAGGTACGTACTCCATCCTTACACAGCTTAGGATCTGCAACATGTCAGGGCCAAATATAAGCTGCTTGCGGGAAGAAACTTACGCGAAAGCCATCCTCCGAAAACGGATGACTTCGCGCTGTCGGAGCCGCGAAGCCATGCAACGTAAGAGGACCTAAGGAAACCACGATGTTGAACAGGAATCGCGCAACATTCGTGCAGCTGTTGGTCACTTCGGGGCTGGTGATTTCTGGGGCCAATCAAAATCTGGGCGATCGCCACGTGTTTGAAACATGCGTCCCCCTCCATGCGCGCAGCCGCTGAATGTTCCTCCGTGTTCACCCTGCTTCCTTACGGTTAGCTCCTCCTCGCCAGCCTACGGACGTGTCGGCAGTGCACGCCGGGAGTGTCGTCAGAGACGTCCCCGAAGGTTGCGATAGCGCAGCTCGAGACTTCCAAGAATCACATGTATGAAACAAGGGGGTATGGTTGTTCTGATAATGCGGCTCTCGGTTTTGCGCCGCATGCTCTCGTCTGAACGGCCAGCATCCACCGGGAACTGCTGTCGAAAACAAGCTCCACGTCTAGACAACGCCATCCCCCTCTAGCCAGAGCCTGCCCGTCAGGAGAAAGGGGGAGGGAGGGACGAGATGGAGAAGCAGAGAGGGAGAGGGGGGGGGGGAGGGAGGAAGCACAGAGATGAGGGCAGAGGAGCGGGGGGGCAGAGGAGGAGGCGGAGGAGCAGAGAGGGAACATCGGTGGAAGCCCGCACAGCCTGCGACGACTGCGCGCATGGCGGTCGGGCCGCTCCCGGGCGCCCTGCTCCCGCCGAGGCGCCCTGCGCCCTCGTCCTGCCACGCTGCCAGCCGCTGCGCGGCTGGAGGGCGTGCGTGCGCTTCAGACCGTGGCCCTCGCCCGGGGGGCACGCGCTTTCGTGCGGGAGGCTTGCAGCACGTCCGACGGCGAGCGAGGGGGAGAAGTGAGAAGCTTGGCCGCCCCGACACGCAACGGGCAACCCGCAGCGTGCTGAGCACGGAGCTCCACACGCAGATTGAAGGCACGGGTCTGGGGCGATGCGTTCGCCAAAACTTGGACCAGCACGTGCCGAGCCAGCACGCGGCGTGTTGACACGGACGTATTGCACACGGCACGTGCTGCGCTTCAGCACGGGCGTATTGGGGCAGCTAATCACCACCTACCAAACCACCCCAACCCAACCCGAAGGCTCAGATTTACCCTCGATTTCCAGTGGGGGGGGTTCGGGAAACATCGAAAAAACACGTATGGAACCCTTACCCCCCCCAACCCGAAATTCGGGTCGTCGGGTTGGGTTGGGGTGGTCTGGTAGGTAGTCAGCTAAGGTGAGAGGGAGAAGGCCTTCTCAGAAGCCCTCGCGTCTTCCGAGAAGCGTTTTGCCTCTTCGGGGAGGCCTCTGCCAACTTCTCCGAAGGCCGGGGGGCTTCCGAGCCATTGTGGGAAGGCATTCTCCTTCTCACTTCCCCCCCTCCCCCTGGCTCGCCGCCGACATGTATCTACACGGAAGAACGACTCGTTCTCACACTGGGTGCTCTCGATTGAAACTCCCGCTGCACTCCTGCCACAAATGTGGCGACCGTGTCACGGTTGCACCGGCGAAGGTGGTTCCTGTTCGAACTGGGGCTGTCGCTTGAGGCTTTCCGGAGCACTGCCAGAAGCTGAAAGTCCTATAATTTGCAAGGATGGATGATGGACTCAGCTGCCTCGGCACGCATAACGCAACACGTGGCGCATTGATACGGGGCTCAGCAGGTAGACTGAAAACGTAAGTCTGACGCGATACGTTCACAAAAAAATGAGCCAACACGTTGAGCCAACGCGCAACGTATTGACGCGGACGTTTTGAGCACGAATGGTGCTGCGTATCCAAACGGGCGTAGGGAGGCAACTAAGAAGATGGATGCCGGCTCATGGTTCAAAACGGTACTGTGACGGCTGACATATGACTTGACCTTCATGATCCTACGTGATTGCACTCGGCAACATCACATGCAAGCAGGCGGCTGCTTTTCAGCACGCGGGCATCCGCCTGAATGACAGGCCCACGGGCGGTGGTGGCCTTTCAAGGTGGCGCTGTCCGTAGCGGGAAGTGGCCCTGATGTGAGCTGCCAAGGGAAGTGAACCTGATGTGAACTAACCAGGAGGGGCTTGGGACGGGAGGGCGTGTGCTTCATCAGCGTTACATAATTCTAAGTCGGCTCACTGTAGTCCTCCTCCTCCTCCTGCTCCAACTCATCGTCTTCCTTCCGTCCCCATCCTCTTACTCCTCCTCCGCCTCGGCCAAGAGGTAAGATCTCCGTCCTGGACGACCTCGTCCGAAGAGGCACTCACCTGTCGGCGGGAGGGGGGGGGAGGGCAGGGAGAGAGGAGAAGGAACAGAAAAGTAGAGAGAGAGAGAGAGAGGGAGCGAGAGAGGGGGGAGGGAAAACATCACACAGAAACATACGACGAGGAACGACGAGAGGGGGACGGAGACGAGGGGACACGGGTTGAGGATCTGGGTCAGGAGCCGTGGCTGGAGCTGGAGGGATTGAGCAGACGTGAAGAAAGACATGGGCGAGCAAGAAGAGAAGGAAGCGGGAGGGGCCAGCAGGACAGAGGAAGCGGTATGGGAGAGGAGGAATGAACATGTCTGCCAGCGTGGCGCCCGAACGGTGAGCGACTGGCACCCCCAGACGTGACAGATGCTCGGTGCTGGGACAGCGTGCCGCAGAGAGTGTGCTGCGCTCGACGCGGTGCCTATCTTTCGGCCCCGCAGCCGTCGAGGAGGCTCCCCCTCGACGGCTGGAAGGTGTCCAGGGCTTGTTCCTCCCGCGGAGGGATCCCCGCGGAGGGATCCCCGCGGAGGGACCGCCGCGGAGGGGGGAACGAGCCTCGACACTCCTCGGCACGCGGAGGGCCCCCATCGTGCGCCACGTGGTGCGCACCCCGCCGTGCAGCACCCGGGCTGCCGCGGTGCGGCGAGCGTGGCAAACCGCAGCGTCCGAGCCCACGGCCGGCCCAGAGGGCGCCCAGAGGGCGGCGACGGGGCGAATAGAAACTGGAACTCCCATCCAGTGTGAAGTCGGGCGTGTCCCCCTACAGGGGGGATCTTCGACGAAACATGACAGATCTTCAGAAAAAGACTCCAAAAGAGTCCAGGAAATACGCAAAACATAGTCCCCGGACTATTTTTTTAAACTACTTTTGAAGATTCCCCCTGTAGAGGGACAGGCCCGACACAGATCCAGTGCCTGACAGCGGCAATGAGAAGAGGGGCTTGGAAGCCCGCCACGAAAACGGATGGTCGATTTCGGAAACCCGGAACCCAAAAACGTTTTGATCTCTTGGGGGGGCACATCCTTTATGTCCGCCAACCTTCCGCGGGCTTCCGCCGGCGGAGGCGGCCTCGTTATACTTCCGCCGACCTTCCGCCGCCCTTCCGCCGCGGAAGAGATGACAACTCCTTCGATCCTCGAAGGCCAGGCCGTTTTTGGAACGCCTCATATACACAGGCAACCCCCAGCGAACTTAGCATGTTCCTTTGGGGGAGTGGGGGTGTATATAGCCGCTGGCTCTCGAGGATGATGTGTACACCCCCCCCTCCCTTCCACGAGGCCCAAGAACTGCCCGTTGGAGGGTGTCCGTGTACCCGCCACAGTGCCTCTGGGCACGGAGTGGGCATGTCCTCAGGTCCTCTGCCTCATCCTCTGAGCCTCAGCTCCTAGGGCTCCCAACTTCGCGCTTCGCGCTGCGCGAAGCGCGAAGCGCGAATAACTTCGCGCTCTCGCGCCGCCCTCCCAAAGGGAGAATAGGAGGACGAGGAGGAGGGGGAGAAGGAACGAGGACCGCGAAGCGCGAAGCGCGAATAACTTCGCGCCCTCGAGGGAGCCCTTGCAGCTCTCAGTCCTGAGGAGTTCCCGACGGGCGCGGGCCCCAAACTGCCAAACTTGGCGGGGCGCGTCGCGTGCCCTCGGTGCTCCCCCGCGGCGTCCCGCCTGACCTCTGCGGGCCCAGGGAGGTCCATGGCGGGCCAAAGGGGACCACGAGGCCCCCAAGACGGTCCAAGAGGGCCCCGAGTCGCCGAGAGATCGTTCCAAGACGCCCAGGGTGGCCTCAAGATGGCCCAAGAAGCCTCCAAGACGCCCCAAGAGGCCTCCAAGAGGCCTCCAAAGAGGGCACCAAGACGCAAAAATCAGGGATTTGCCTTCGTGTGCCTGAGAGATATTGGCGTTCTCGCCTTTTTCAATTTTTCAGACGCTCCAAGACGGCCTGCAAGAGGGCCCCAAGTCGGCCTAAAAGCGCTCCAAGACGGCTCAAGAGGCGCCCAAGATGGCCCAAGAGGGTCCGAAGATGGCCCCCAAAGAGGCCCAAACACGAACCGAAAATCCGAGCCTTCCGCCCCGAGAGGCCCCCAGGAGGGCCCAAGAGGCGCCCAGGAGGCCCCAAGAGGCCCACAAGAGGCCCCCAAGAGGCCGCAAGAGGCCTCCAATGGGCTCCCGAGGGGCCTTTCACGAGGTCCCATTGAACATCCAATGGGCTTCAGACCCACAACCCTGGCACGGTGGCGGGATGGGCCGAAGGCCATTAGATGCGCTTTTGTGGCGGACAAGGTAGGAGGAGGTGTGAAGAGGGGGGAGGGGGAGGCAACGCTCTGACTGATCGCGCGCATCCGCAACGGTCCTGGCGCCCACCGGACACGCGCCTGTCATAAGTGATAGCGGCCCGAGGGCTCAGCCCCTGTCCAACGCATGCAGAGGACATGAGACACGATACGCAAGGCACAAAGGCACCTTTGATTTGGCAGGGCCGACCTCCAAATCAGACTCGACTGTGCTCCTCTTCCTCTCTGCGGCCAACTTCTCTCGCTCTGCTTTCTCTTGCATTTGGCAAAATTCGAGTTCGCGTAGCCCGCTGGCGCTCGTCCGACATGGATTACCCAAGAAAAATCTGAAGCGGCATTCGCACGCTGACCGATCTTCGCACTCAGAGCGCTCGAAACCCTGGAGGCTTGCAAGACGCAGTCGAAGGGCTGGGGCTCGCCAGAAGGCCGGTGGCAGGTGGCACAGTTATGGCGCAGAGGCTCTCGAATCAGCGCCCGACCCGTGTGACACCAGCGGCTCTGTGGAAGGGAGGGCAACGAACAAACACACGTGGTCCAGCGCTGAGACGAACCGGCCGTGAGGCGGCAGCAAAACGACGGCGTGGGCGCGGGGTGGGAGCCCCTTCGTGGGTGAGCCTTCCTGGAAGCCTCTCTGCGGACGTCCGCGGCCCTATCATGAAGGTGAGCTCGACCGGATTCCGTCCAGACTGCGACCATCCCTCTTCACACGCTCGGCCAACCTTCGTCCAGGTTGCGCTCAAAAATCGGCCAGATGTCGACCAACTCCAATCGTCCAGATGTCTGCTCTTCCTTCATGGCCTACTTCTCCTCCCACTGACCATCCTCCCCTCCTCCTCTCCCACTTCGCTCACAGAGGAGATGTGACAATCCACCTCCCCCTCCCCACTGTTTCCCCGCGCGTGCGCGGGGAGGACGAGGAGGGGGCGGAGAAGAATGCGGCGGAGTGGGATGGGAAGCAGCAGGAGGGAGGGGAGGCAGATGCGGAGGAGGAAGGAGGAGGAGGAAGGAGGAAGGAGGAGGAAGGGGCAGCAAGGAGAAAGAAGGAGGAAGAAGGAGGAAGGAGGAGGGAGGAGGAAGGAGGAGGGAGGAGGAGGAGAAGGAGGGAGGAGGAATGAAAGGGAGTGGGCGAGGAGCAGGCGGCGGAGAGCGAGGCAAGGGAGGGAGAAGGTAGGGAGGCAGGCGCGTCGGATGCAAGACTTTCAACAAACCAGGGCAAGGAGGGCGAGCAGCGCCGGAGCTACGCGCTGCGAGGGTCACCTGCAGCAGGGCGCTGTCGGCGGCGCCGCCGTCGATCTCGAGAGGAGCGCTGGCCCCCTGGCGAGGATGCCACGGCTGCAACCGGCCGATGCTCCTGATCCACCCCTGCCTCCCCCTCCTCCTCCCCCTCCTGCACTTTCTCCTCCTCCTCTCCTCCTCCTCCTCCTCCTCCTCCTCCTCCTCCTCCTCCTCCTCCTCCTCCTCCTCCCCTCCTCCTCCTCCTCCCACTCCTCCCCCTCCTCCTCCTCCTCTTCCTCCTCCTCCTCCTCCTCCTCCTCCTCCTCCTCCGCCTCCTACTCCTCTTCCTCTTTCGTCCTCCTCCTCCTCCTCCTCCTGTTTCCCCTCCTCCTCCTCCTCTCACTTCGTTCTTTCGCCGGTGTGCTGCTCAGGCCTCGCGAATCCCCCCTGGCAGACTCGAGAAAACTGATTCCCTGAATACTGCTTGCACTTGGGGGGGGGCCGAGGATTCGCCAGGTTGCCGCCTGTTGCTGCCCATGGGCGCTTCGTGTGCTGGATAGTAGTCTGCCAACAACTCAGCTGCACCCCTCTCCTCCCCCTCCTCCTTGAGGGGAGAGGAGAGGAGGGGAGAGACAAATGGTAGTAGTGAGGAGCAGCAGGGTGGAGGATGAGGACGAAACGCAAGCGGATCAGGAAACTGATGATGAGGAGGAAGAGGAGGTCGCACGGTCATGGCTAAAATATTGTTGGGGAAGGAGTGTGAGGAAGATGAAGACGGGAGAGGACGAGAAGGATGAGCAGGACGACGTGGAGGAGGAGGAGGATGAGGAGGAGGAAGAGGAGGAGGAGAGGGAAAGCAGGAGGAGGGAGGAAGAGAGGGGATGTGTGGAGTGGATGGGAGCGTGGGAAGCGGCGGCGGAGCAGGCGGAGCAGGCGGAGCAGGCGGAGCGGGAGGGGGGGGGGGCGCAGGCAAGGCACGAGAGGGGCTGGAGGCTCTGGAGAGGGGGGGGCGGGGGGGCGGCGGAGGCCGATTGAACACGGGGTGGTCGCAGCGACTGCCCCCGGCCTGGTGCTGCGGCGCCCCAGCGGCCGCGAGGCACAGGGCGACCAGCACCAGCCCCCGCTCCATGGCAGGCCTGGGCCAGGCAGGCCCCCTCTGACCGCGGCTGCTGTCGCCGCTGCTCCCACGTCGCCTCCTTCGCTCCTGCGTTGTGTGCCTATGACAACGGACACCCTGACAATGCTAGCATTGAGTTCAAGCTGTGTTTGCCGTGTGTGGAACATGATCTAACCATGTTTTAAGCAGGCTTTTCACATGTTTCAGACATGTCTTACACATGTCTTAGACATCTGGAAATTATTTGGCAACATGCTTCCTCTCATTCCTCTCTATTGTTCGTCCTCCACAACTCTGGCGCCGCCAGGGTATGACCATATGTACTGCTGCTTGGCCGTGTTCCGAGGACTCGGGGAGCGACGGATATGGAGATCTGCCCGCCAGCGCGGGCTATCAGATATTCATATATCCACCGCTCATCGAGATCACAGGGCACGACTCCGAAGCGGTGGATTTGGACATATTTAGGCGGCGGATCCCTTTCTTCTCCAGACCCTTCACGCATCACCCGATTCCACCGCCAGCGGTGATACGGCCCAGCGACAACAAAGACTTCGACAGGATGGCACCCGTGCGCGATCGCGTGGACCTCGGAATGCTGCGCGCCGGTGGTGTGCTCCTGCAGAAGCGGTGCACGCCTCCTGGAATCTGGATGAGGACATATAAGTGCGCCGCCGTTCATGAGAGCTGGCCAATCCGAAAACATATCGGGCGCAGCGTCCGTGCCAGAGAAAGCCGGGAAGCTCTGAGAGAGTCCTGGAACGCTCTGGAAGGCTGTATCCTAGCCCTCCACCTGCCTGAACTTCCGCCCCGTCGCCTCCTTCTCGCGTCCTCCCTTTTCTCTCGTGACGGTTCCCCGAACAGTGCCTGCAATCAGGGGCTCTTCCTGGCCTTATTGAGTGGTTGGATCGGTGTCCTGGGTCTTTGCCCGGTCGCCGACCCCATGCGCCGAACGCCGGTTGGGTGTCCCGGAGTTTCGCCCCGTGTTTGCGCGTCGCCGCCCGAGCAGACAAGCTTGGAGCCAAGCTGAGAATCCGCCGACCCCCTGGGTCATCGGCGTGTGAGATGCTTCCCCCTCCCCAAACCCCTCCCCCGGGAACCCGGTCCGGTCGATTTGGAGGGGGGGGGGGGGCCCACCACGAGCGACTCACGACGCTCTTCCGGGCCCAAAAGGCCCAAATACGGGCCAAGAAGGCCCCAAGAGGCCTCCCAGACGTTCCAAGAGGCCCCCAGACGCCCCAAGAAACCGCCTAGACGCCCTAAGAAGCCCCCGAGAGGCCCCAAGAGGCTTCCAAGACGCCCCACGAGGGCTCCAAGACGCCCGAAGAGACCTCCAAGACGCCCCAAGAGACCTCCAAGAGGCCCCCGAGGAGCGCCCCAAGAGGCCAAAATCGTTGATTTTCATTTGTTTTTTTTTCCTATGTTTTCGTCATGTTCGCCTTTTCGGCCTTCCGACGCTCCAAGACAGCCCAAGAAACTCCCAAGACTGCTCCAAGACGGCACAAGAGGCCTCCACGACGCCCCCAAGACGGCCCAAGAGAGCCCCCAGACGGCCCAAGAGAGCCGCCCAAGGCGGCCCAAGAGAGCCCCCAGACGGCCCAAGAGCCGCCCAAGACGGCCCAAGAACCTCCCGGAGACGGGCCCAAGAGGGGCTCCAGAGAGAGACCACGCACCGGAAAACCCAGCCCTACGCCCCAAGAGGCCCCCAGGAGGCCCCCAGAGGCCCCAAAGAGGCCCCAAGAACCCCCCAAGAGGCCCCCAAGACGTTCCAAGAGGCGCCCAAGAAGCCACAAAGAGGTCCCCAAAACGGCCCCCAAGAGCCTTCGAAACTGCTCCAAGAGGCCCGCAAGAAGCCCCCCCGCAAGATCCCAACGGACATCCCTGAACACACCGGTTTTTCGAGTCGCGCCCAGCCCCATAACCCGGAGCCTCATCTCAGTGTCCCCGTCCTCCTCCTCTTCCTCCTCCTCCTACACTTCCTCCTCGTTCCCCTCCTCCTCTTCCTGCCCCGCTTCAGCTCATCCTCACCGATGCTTCTCCCCCCCATTTTCCGCCTCACCCCCCATCCTCCTCTTCCCGTCCTCCCTTTCTGCCCAGTACGCGCAACCGATTGGGCATCATTTGCACGTCTTGCACTTTAGGGTGCCCTTCTTTGCGTCGCGCGGGACATTGTGAGGGTCGGGGAACGCCGACTTTGGTAGTCCTCTCTTGCACGCGCCGCTGCACTGATAAGCCTGGCAACTGCGCGCTGTGAACCCGAGTTCCTCGCAGCTTCTGCACACCACTTTAACTCCTTTCGCCGCTCGATGATGTTCCACTTGCTTCTGCTTCAAATGTTTCGTGTCCGAGAACGCGCCTTTGCACGCCGCGCACGTCAGCGGCTTCGCGTCCGCCTCTGCTTTCCGCTTGCGATTCTCTACATCCGCCTTCTCGTTCCGCCCACCCTTCTCGTTGCGGGCGCACGCCCTGCAAAGCCTCTCCCCCGCATCTTTCGAGTCGTATTGGTTCGCCGCCACTTCCGCCTCCGTCTTCAAGAGATTCTTGCACCTCGCGCACCGAATCTGGAATTTCTCCTGAATCTGAGAGGCCTCTGAACCACAACTCAGGCACGGTGGCGGGATGGGCCGACTACTGGGAGGAGGAGCAAAGACGACGACGATAGGAATGCGGGGGATAAAGTCGGGCCATGACGCCCCCAAGACGTCCAAGATTGCCTCCCCCCCCAAAAACAAGGGGTCGGCGGTGTGGCGCAAGCCTAAAGAATCACTTTCACACATGAGTGCTGTTGTGATGCTGACGCGCCGATTGTTGTGAATGCTCCTCCTCCTCCTCATCCTTCTCCTTTGCTTCGGCCGTCCACCTTGGATTCACTTCGCGGATGCTTACTCAGTCACCGCTCGAGCGACACAGAGAAGGTCAGCTTGGCCCGTGCACCAGGATGATACGTCCACGTTGTGAATAGTGTACAGCGTTCGCCATGCAACTTGTTTTGTCAAGTCAGCTTCGGTTCAATCCCACTGCTTTCCCAGATGTCCCAGACTTGTGCCACAAGTGCGCGCACACTTGAGCACCAGGACGGCTTTCAGATCGCGGTGCTGACCGATGAGACATTATGTTCATCATACATCGTTCCGTTCTTCTTGGTCGATTGCTGGAAATCCACCGCGCTTGCACAGGGCAAACATGGTCGACTTCGTCAGCGGGCTCTGCCGTGTGACTATGGGATACAATCTGCGGGTCTCGCGGCACATTCGTATGTGGCTGCTGTGGCAGCGCGTGAAAATGTATGAGAAACCAAAGTGTGTTGCTGTTCTGGGACCGCGGGTAGTGCGGGTTTTGGGCAAGCTTTTATCTGTGACTGCTATGCTGAACGATGTGTCTCAACGCTATGGCTGTGCTCGGTGGCGCTTGGTTTCGGTACAGACTGCTCCAGGCTGTATGCCACGATGTTTTACTGTATTCCCCAGGTCCTGATGATATGTTTGTGAAGGGAAGAAAGCAACAAACAGACGACTTCGCATCAGGATGCTCAAGATCCTGAATAGTGGGATGCACCATGAATGTGGGCTTATGATCGTGTGTGGCACGCTTCGTCCTCCTTACCCGTACTCCCGCCTCCCCCCTGCGGCTCACTCATACTCATACGAGGTCATAGTCAGACCCACCTATACTAAGAGGCAGGCCACTCATGCTCAGACGCGCACATACACACACTGAAACTCGCATATTCTCCTAAGTCAGTCGTACTCAGACCACTCGTTCTTGCACCCACCCGACCCAGATTACGAGCTCAAATTTTCACAAACAAACACACCGAGATTCACGCACGCCCAGGCTTAATCATACTGAGACCAAGTCATACTCAGACCCGCTCAGACAAATACTCATGCTGCGACGGACTGGCTCACACTCAGATCACAAAACATACACACTCAGTCTGGCTCATACTCTGGCTCGCCCATGCTGAGATCAATAATACTCCGGCTCACTGGCACAACGGCCCCCTCATACTGAGACTCACCCATATCCAGATCACTCATGACCAGTATCGCCAACCTCACAAGAATTCGAATTCAAAAGTTGGTCACACTCAGACTGAGTCAACTTCATCCACCACACGTACACCCGCTGGATCCACATGGTCACTGCGGTATATACATATATATATATATATATATATATATATATATATATATATATATATATATTATATATATGTAAAAATAGGAATATATATATATATATATGTATATGTGTGTGTATGTATAGGAAGCGCGTCAGTTGAGAATCCCAAGGGGGGAGCCGCCAGGGTGCGTTCCACGGGCCCGTGCTCGCCCAGATTATGGGGACGCTCGGGCAGAAAGACCGCGGTGGGAGGGCAGACGTGTCTCTCTTCAGAGCAGCCCAGCGATCATTGCGATGAAGCAAGCACGGCACTTGGGCATACCAAGGGGGAACCAGCGGGGGGGGTGCACGAGACCGTTCGCGCCCATATGGTTGGGATTTCACAGGAAGGTCGAAAGGCCGCTTTGGCGGGGGGGGGGGGGGTACACGTTCGCTCTTCAAAGCCCCATGATCACTGCACTGTAGTAGGCGAAGAACTTGGGCACCCTAACGGGGAACCGCCAGCAGTATGACAGATTCTGGGGACCTGCCTGGCGAAACGCTTGTCTTGGCCCGGCGGGCGAGTTTTTTTGTTCAAGGCCGCATTGCGATTATCATGTAGCAAGTATGGTTTGTGGGCATGAGAAGGATAAGTCATCGGGGGAAGTTTAATCATGTCCTGACCCACAAACATTCACACCCACTCGTACTCAGCCGCTCAGACTCGCTCATACTCAGAGACTCATAGGACATGAACTCGCCAGGAAAATATATCGGCGTCGGTCAGCTTAGTGTTGGGCGTGTTGTAGCTGCTGCTCATTATGCATATCGTTGGGGGCATGTTTGTCTGTGTTGATCGAGGTGGGCCTCGTAGATGGTGTTGGTCATTCGGTGGTTCAGCACCTCTGCTGGGGAGCTCCTCCTGTCGCCCGTCCGCACGTCTTGAGATGAAAGGCGACACGCGGCCCAGTGCCTCAAGCCGTGCCCCCTCCCTGCTCCCCGCGCTGTGCTGTGGCGCCCACGCTTGCGGTGACGCTGTCGTCCGCGCCGCGCTCGCCAGCGCCCGCAGCTCGGAGGGGGCCAAGAAGGCAGCCCCCCCGCCATCCCCCCCATCCCCACCACCTTAGTGGGCCCCGACAGGCAGGGCCGATTTTTCATCGTTTCCAAAAAGTGTCCCTTGAAAATGGAAACGGCAAAACAACGGCGACTGGAAACGGCAACAAAAACGGCTCCAGGATTGGAGCCGGAGCGGGAACCCGTAAAAGAACGGCGACGGAACCGGTAACAAAAACGGCGTCGGAGCCGGCAACAAAAACGGCAAAACGGAACCGGTAAAAAAACGGCCCTGCCGTTTCCAGGGCCCACTAAGCCCACCACCACCCTCCCCCCCTTTCAGCCCCCCCGCCATATCCCCCCCATCCCAGCACCCCCCTCCCCCCCCTCCTCCTCCTGGTCCTCCTGATCCTCCTCCTCCTCCTCCTCCTCCTCCTCCTCCTCCTCCTCCTCCTCCACCTCCTTCCCCCCTCCAACTCCTGGTGGCTTCCAGCCCCGACGCCCCCGCACCCAGCTGCCCTCAGCCTCGAGAAGCGCCAGAAAGCGAGCGCCTGCTGCAGCGCCACAGGCATTCGAGCTTGGGGGGGCCCACCCCTTAGGGCGCTTACGGCGCGCGGCAGCGGCTGCTCCCGACGCCGGCGGCGCCGGCAGGGCTCTCGGCCCCTGGGGGCCGACGCTGCGCAGAAATCACGCCGTCGGGGCCCTGGGAGGCCTGCACAAGCAGACTTGATCGCGCGGGGGTCCTCGCGGACTTCGTGCATCGGCGCTGGACGCCGTGGCGCGCCCCGCGCCCCCTGGGGAGCGGGGGGATTCCCGGCACCAGCGGCGCGGCGCGGGAGGGGCAAGGCCGGGGCGCGACAGGGCTCTCGGCCCCTCCAGGGGCCCAGAGGCTGGCCGAGAGCGGCGCGATGCCCCGAGGGCGCCTCCTGAGAGGCCTGTTGGGCCTCCAGAGAGGCGTTTTGGGCCTCTCGAGCGGCATCTTGGACCTCCCGAGAGGCGTCTTGAGCCTCCCGAGAGGCGTCTTGGGCCTCCCGAGAGTCATCTTGGGCCTCACGAGAGGCGCCTTGGGCCTCCCGACGGAAGTCGGCCGGCACTGCCGCCCGCGCCCGCATCGCCTGGCAGCAGCCTCAGGGGCGAGGCGCGTCGATCTCGAGCAGTCCCTAGAGCCACTAGCGGGGGGATCCCCATGAAAAGGATCGCGAGTGCGGCAACCATGAGGACAGCAAGGACTCAAGCGGGTCGGCCGGGAATCGGCGACAGGATGTCACCGACAGACTGGCAACGGGTCTCGACGGCGAAGCCGCCGGTTACGGGGCGAGGTGGGGTACTTCAGACACGGTGAACGATACAAGGGCGATTACGGGTCGACGCTTGCCCCCCTGAGCAGTCCTCGTGTGTGCCACGACCGGTCAGTACACTCTGGGTAGCAGGTTCAATGAGAAGGCATGACAAAAAAGCACAAGGTCAGTGACTGGTCTGCGTTGGCCAGGTTTCGCCTCTATGAGATCTTCGCAAGATCGCGAAGGTGCCACCAGCGAGAGCGCACATGGCGGCTAGCAACAGACCAGGCAGCAGGCCAAGGCTGGCATCGAAATACTCAACACCTAACGACTGGCGTGTGCTGACTGGTCAGTGCGTGCTTCCCCCAAAACCGACTGGACTGATGACATCCTGCGTCGATGCTACAGGCGGTTGCCTGGTCAGCTAAGCAGAAGCACCAGCGACACAAGGACAGAAAGGCGACAACCCAACGTCGAGCTGCAACCTGTCAAGCAATCCCCCGTTGAAATGGTCAGCGCATCTATGATCTCCCCCTGTTCCCACCGCCCGTGACACCTGCGATCGCTCGGACCCCTATTCCCCGTGCGCGTCTCGGCTTCGCGCGCTCTTTCTTGGTCGAGTGCTCAAGGATGCTCGCCGATGGTCCTCGCCGAGAACAGATGCACACGTCCGAGCGATGCCAAGGACAGGCACTGAGGCGCCCACGCGCAGCGCGGCCCGATGGGCATACGAGGAGGCAGCTGCCCGGCGGCGCGCCCGCGCAGCCAGCCCCCCGGCGGACGCAGGGCAAGACCCGCGCCCCGCTTGGCCCAGAGGGGGAGGGGGAGGGGGAGGGGGTGGAGGATGAGGAGGAGGAGGAGGAGGAGGAGGAGGAGGAGGATCTTGTGGACCTTTTGACCAAGCACAGGGTCGTGCGGGGGAGGGGGAGGGGAGGGGAAGGGGAGGAAGACCGACCCCGAACGGGAGTGCTTTGGTGCAGGCGGAAACCCCGCCTCACCGCCACACCACAGCACCTCTAACTGGCCAGTCGGCCCTCCAGAGGGCCGACTACCCAGCAGAGGCGGAGGAGGAGGAGGAGGAGAAGGAGGAGGAGGAGGACACAAGGCCGCTCCTCCTCCCCCGCCTGGCCAGGACTCGCCCCACCCTCCGCAGACCTCGGCACCCCTCCGGAGACCTCCTGCTGGGAGGGGCGCGGGGGTTGCTAAGGGGATAGGGAGACGGCCAGTGGATGCCAAGGTGGGTTCTACGTACCTGGCCTGGCCTAGTCTATGAGTGGGTTACACATGCCCCAAGTGGCTTAGGGGGATCAGACAATTGCGCGAAGTGGGCGGAGCCCACTTAGCCTGGATCACTATCCCCCCCAAGCCACTCGGGGCATCAGCAATCCACTAATGAGCTAAGTTAGGCCAAATATAACATCCCCTTAGCCCCCCCAGCGCCCATCCCAGTGGTGGCCTCCCGGAAACCTCCCGGAAGACTCCGACCCGAGCCTCACGAGACCCTCTGGAGGCCTCCGAGGAATCTCAGCCAGCCCCGGGGACCTCCCGCCTCCGAAGGTACCCTTATCCGCCCTCCATCCTTCTCTTCCTTCTTCCCCCTCCCTCCCCCTCCTGCATCCCTCCGCGCGCGGACGCTCTCGTGTGAGAGCCCTTCGGCCCGCGACCCGAATCCGCCAATATCAAACGACACCCTGGGAGTCCATCGCGGCCAACTTCTCGGGCTGCGTCAGGGCGCTGGTGACGAGAACCACCACAGACGGCGACAAGCAGATGGCGGAATCCGGAAGCCCTGAGCCCAAAGACGTTTTCATCTCCTGGGGGCGCATCTTCTACTTCCGCCGCCTTCCGCCGGCCAACCGCCAGCTTCTGGCCAGCGGCCTCGTCTGACTTCCGCAGACCTTCCGCCGCGGAAGAGAGTTTCCAACTCCTCCGATCCTCCACGGCGAGGCCCTTCTTGGAGCGCCCCACGCATGGAGCGTCGCCGTGGAAGTCGCCGACACCGTCGTCGGCGGCTGTCGGCTGGGCGGTGGCTTCTGCCGCGATCTCCGGGCGGCCGCCGGCTAGGCCCGGGGCGAGCGCCGGGCCCGGGGCGGGCGGAGTGCGCTAATATGGACGCGTGGGGTAACAGGATGACATATAGAGAGCCCTTGGACTGCGGCGCGCGGAGCGGGAGCATGCTGCTGAAGGTGGAGGGGCAGAGCGAGGACCCTGATCCCCTCGCGTTGCAAACAAAATCACGACGGGGACGGGAAGGTTTTCACTATGTTCGGCCTCCTATTTTCGGCCTCGACGTCGGGGGTCTGGGCAGGGGGGATATCGGCGGCCAGCGACAGGGAGGAAGTGAGGAGGGGCAGGTCCTCGTAAAGGCTCGGGAGTCCCACGGCCTTCTGAGAAGTGTCCTGAGCCTGCCCCGAGGACGCAGAATACATTTTGCAGAAGGCACAGGGGCTTCCGAGAAGTCCCGCCGCCCTCCGAGGAGGCCTTCTCTTTCTCGCTCCCTCCCATCGCTCGCCGCAGAGAGCCGCGCCCCGACGGCGCATCGGCAGGAGCTGTGCACGTGCACACTCGGAGCATGCCACGGAGCCTCGGCCGGCCACCGCCCGAAAGCGATGCGCAGAGGACGCGCGGGGGAGGAGCAGCACTGCCGCGAGAGCGGTCGGAGAAGGTCAGACGACGAGGAAACGGGGTGCGGCTATCGGGGAGAACCCTCTTTGCACCACGGTCAGGAAAAAGGGGGGGGAGGGAGGAGGATGGAAAGAGGTGCAGGAGGAGGGGAAGGGGGTCAGGGTGCGCAAGGAGGAGCGGGAGGCGGGGCGGCGAGGGGAAGGAGGGGGAGCAGGACGAGGAGGAGGACACCGCCCAGCCAACGCCGGTCGACTGTAAGAAGGAGGAGGGGGATGGGCCAGAGCAGGCGAGGATGGGCAGCGAGGAGCACGAGGAGGACGGCGCGGCCGAGGAGGTCCTCGAACGGGGCGCGGAGCGGGCGCAAAGAGCAGGCCGCACTGTGCTGCCGCCGCCCGTGGCGACTCGGCGGGCCCGCGTCGGGAAACTCGGGCCGGCCCCCCTCCGGGAGTCTTTCGAGGGCAAAAAATCCACTCCCAGAATAGCCACCCCGACAAGCGAGACCCTTTCGTAAGCGCACACACACAGAGAGAGAATCGAACAGGGCAACGCTGTTTAGTGAACGCCCAAGGCCGTCTACTGAACACCAGTAATCGGCCCGGGTGGTTTTTCCTCCCTTGAGTTTTGCGATTGGCTCGGCAAAGTACCCACGAGTTGAAGTGGGGAGAGAAGCCACGATTTCCAGCTTGACGGTGCAGTCCAACTGGTCTGCCCTGGCCGGCGAGGGCTCGCCGAAGCCCTCAGAGGGCAAACACTTTTGGTCTTCGCCCACGGCCTCCTCCCGACGAAGAGCAGCACGCACAGCAGCCAGCTGGGAGCCAGAACTGTCCGCGAGCTGGGCCCTGCGGTTGAGTCGGGCCTGTCCCCCTACAGGGGGATTTCGACTACAAATAAAAAATACCCCCAAATAGTCCAAACATAATCCAAAAATAGTCTGGGGACTATTGTTTTAGTATTTGTTGACCTTCTTCGGGTATTTTTTGGGTATTATTTTTCGTCGAAAATCCCCCTGTAGGGGGACACGCCCGACTTAACCCTGGGGTCTTCCCCCCCGGTCCTCAGCTGCGTCGTGGACCACATCGCCGGGATTGAAAACCATGCAGGCGATGTCTGGCTGCTTCGGATGCCTGCCCTTCTGGAGAGAGCGAGCAGCCGATCCGGCGGCCTCTTGCAGAGCCTCTTTGGCCTGAGGCAGACGATCAGCGCGCAGTGCTCTGAATAGGCCGCCACAGGAGCTCCCGCAGCAGAGGGTACGCATAAACAGCATAGATGAAAGAGAGCAGGGGAGACCGATGACCTAATGCCCCCTCTCTGCGAAGGTCGTGGCCGCCTGAGGTGGCTGTCCAGAAAAACCTGTTTACGTGATTGGCAACACCAGAAGTCTTGCACCGGAGCAAGTCGTGCTGCTGCAAACTACCCCCCTGCTTGGCCGCAGGGGTGGAGGGGCGGGGCACGCATCAAACGCGCCTCTGTGACGACGAGCTCCGGCAAAAGAGGCAAAATGGCAAACGCAAGCTTGGAAGCTAGACAGGCCAAGCGAACCATCTCGAAATACTCCTTCAGCTCACCCTCGGATGGCTGAGGGTGCGAAGCAGCTCCCTGACTCGCTGCAGTGTCTGCAGCATCGCTCCCGCACTCGCAGAGATACTCATAATCCGATAAGTCAAAGCTGTCCTGGACACGTGCTCTGAGCTTCACAACCGATCTGAACAACAAACCGCGGTTATGAAACATGTCTGCGTACGGCCTCTTGCGATAGGCCCGCTTAGCTAAGCCTGGGCAAACTGGAACAACGTTGCTGCAATCGCCGTAGCCTTTCGACTCCCCAGCTACAGACTCGTCGGCGGCACCGTAGGCCCCGAATTTGCCAGCGTGGCGAATTTTGGAGAGGTTGAACCAAATTGGAACCCCAAAGAGAAGCAACGTATTCGAATTCCCCTATTAAAGCAGCTACGCTCCAACCAGCCCTGTTTCATTCGGGAGCATCATATTTAGAGAATGAACCATCAAAGAAAACATGACCGTGGAAATGAGGGTCTCGAAAGCAGGTGACGGTCACGTATAACCTGGGTGTGCGAAGCAAGCCCTGATGAACAACTGGAAGTCGGGATGATCGCTGGGAGTGTCCAAGTCCCTCTGAATATCACGATATTTGGCGATAGCCGATCTCTCCGAGGCGGCCGCAGGACATTCCCAAACCCGATGCTTGATGGTGTCAGGCGACCGCTGACACAACGGGCAGACCGACTCATCTGAGGCATATCCGACCAACTCGTGTGCACGCGGTCTGGTCCAGATGACGTTGCACGCGAAACACTTGAGGCTGCCCTTCTACATCGGCGTCAACTTGCGCGTCCTAGCCACAAACTTCACAACGTCGAAGCCGGTACGCCCCTCGAACCCAAGCTTGGCCCCCGACTGCCTCTTGAGCCGTCTTGAGACACCTTGTAGAGGAACCTCTCGATCAACAACTCGGCGAGGAAGTCGCGGGACTGATATTAACTCCCAGATCTGTCCTCAACATGACAGACCCTGCCATATCCCACCTTATGCGAAATATCGAAATGCGAGCTGCAGCCGGAGGTCCAGAAACAGTCCTCCAGGAAATGGCAGACGCCGAACAAGCCAAGGTCCAAGCCTCTCGTCATCAAGCCGCACAAACATGCGAAACCAGTCCCCGAGCTTCACGGAGGAGAAACTGAGAGTGGCCGTCCTCGGAGCTGGAACTGTGAAGCTCGGACCTGACAAGGTCAGCCCAGGTTGCAGCAAACTCCTTGCAGTGGCCTGAGCCATCCCCCTGAGCCTGCTGCCGACAGGCCGTGGTCGTCGACATGAGCGAAGGCAGCCTCTAGGCAGCTCCAGGAAATCCAGAACTGGAGCCGGGAAAGCACGAACGTACGGCGTGGATACCCATCCGAGCGTCATGGGGAGCATCTGCCAGACTCGAAGACGAAGCAAAGCGGGGCCCACGATCAGCACCAGTAGCCAGCCTGGAGAAAGCATGAGGAAACCAACCATCCAGCTCTAACCCAAAGGGTACTGAGCCGGGCCCTTTTCATAGGGCTTGAATTCTGAATTAACCCCACAAGACACTAAGCGCCACTTCTGTAGATCCCTCGCTCTCAGCGCGCTGCTCGCCGCCCGTGGCCATACGACATCACTGGCCCCGCTGGTGGCCCCAGCGGCTACATATTATGGTCTTGGGTTGCACGGTTTCCCCAGGGGCCGTAGGCGACCCGAGGAGGAGGAGGAGGAGAAGATGGAGGAGGAGGAGGAGGAGGAGGAGGAGGAGGAGGAGGAGGAGGAGGAGGAGGAGAAGGTGCAGGAGGGGAGGAGGAGGAGGAGGAGGAGGAGGAGGAGGAGGAGGAGGAGGAGGAGGAGGAGGAGGAGGAGGAGGAGGAGGAGGAGGAGGAGGAGGAGGAAGGAGGACCGGTCGCCTAAACCCTTCGGAGAAACCCTCCATCCTGGGCTGCTGCCCTGCCAGGAGGCAGCGACAGGCCCGCGGGCTCTACGCCCCAGACGCTGCACGCTTCCCTGGACAGGCCGGCTCCGATCCCAACGACTCCAGAGGACGAGGAGGTGGAGCGCGCCTCAGGAGTCCATGATCCCTCTAGCTACACTGCTACTGCTGCTGCTGCAACTGCCGTTGCTGCAACTGCTGCCGCTACCATGCACAAGATACAAAGGTGGCCTTGCGGGTGGAGGCCATGGCGCGCGACGAAAGCGGCGAGCGGCCAGAGTCCAGAGGACGAGGAGGAGGGCGACACCGAAAAGAGGGGGGCAGGAGGGGGACCAAGAGGAGGGAGGACGAGGATGACGATGGCGGGGGCCACAACCAAGCGGCGGCGACGGCGGATGCCGACCGACCGACGGCGACGGCGACGGCGACGGCGACGGCGACGGCGAAGGCGACGACGGCGACGGCGACGGCGACGACGACGACGACGCTAACGACCTCTGCGCCGAGGGCCCTCGAAGGTCGCGGAGAGCCGCCGGGTGCCCGCCAGAGGCCACCGAGAGCTGCCGCCCTGCCGCCGAGGCTGCCAGGTGGCCGCAGGCCGCCGGTGGCCTCCGATAGTCACGCAGCACACGCCGCACGCGCAGTCAACCCGCACAGGGAGGGCGCAGGGTAAGGACGCAGGGGCCTCGGAAGGCCGCCGCCTGCCGCCGCCCTGCCGCCGCCTGCCGCGCTTCGGAAGAGATGGCCATCCCTTCGAGCCCCGAAGGCAAGGCCCTGTTGGGAGCGCCCCATGTCGACCCGCTGCGAGCGGGGCGCGGCCAACGGAAGCGGCCAAGGGAAGCGGCCGGGGAGGCAAGACTGCCAGGGTACCCTTGGGAAGGTTGCTCATGCTTGCTGTACGGGTTGACCGTAGCATTCTGGCACGGAGCTCAACACGGAGACTGAAAACGAACGCCTGGCGCAACGCGTTCGCCCAAATGGCGCGGCACGGTGGGCCAAGAAGCAGCCTGTTGAGACGGGCGTTTGGAGCACGGAAACAGTTGCAGATAACCTGGGCGTATCGAGGCAGCTAAGCTCCGATAGCCACCGACGGTCTGAAGGCTGCCAGGGGCCTCCGATGTCCACCAACGGCCTCTGGTGGCAGCAGCGGGCGGAAGGCCTTAGGGCCGCGCACAAGGCCGTGCCCAACTCGCCGCTGATGCCCAGGCGCTCCAGGGTCCCCGCCGTGGCGGCGAAGGCATTGACGGCGCAGTCCTGTGGCAGCTCTCGTCGTCCGTGACGTCGCAGTCGTCGTCGCAGACATCGAAGCCGCCACCGTCGCCGTGGTGGTGGTGGTTGTCGACGTGGCTGTCGTCGTGGATGTCGTCGACGCCGCGGACGTCGTCAGCATTATCAGCGTCGTCGTCGTCGACGTCGTCGTCGTCGACTCCCGCCCACATCGTGAACGTCGTCGTGGAGGCCGTCGCCGTGGTGGTCGTCGTCAGCGGCCGCGGCGGCGCTGTCAACGCCGTGGGCGCAGCAATCAGCAACCTCGTCAACCTGGCAGGGTCGCGCACCTGTCGTGCGAGCCTCGGCGTGAACAAGGCTTTTGTTGCTTGATTGTCTTTGTTTTCGGGAGGGGGGGAGCAAGCAATGGGAGCGGGCAAACATACTATGCACCACTCTCCTCGCCAACCGTGCCGGCACCTATCACTGACACGTTCGTCGCAAGGCTGTCCTGCGAACGTTGAACGTGGCCCGAACACCGGCAGGCCTCGGTGCGAGCTAGGGTGCACAGAGCGAGCGCGGGCAAGGCTGCGCAGCAAGAACCTGGCCCCCCCATGTCCAGGGCGGGTCGGGGGTGGAGGCGGGAGGACGAGAGAGCAGAGGAGCGAGAAAAATGGGAGGGGGGGGGGGAGGGCGGCAGGTGGGAGGATAGGAGAGAGGCGGAGGCGTCAAGAGGCCAGAAGAGGGGGGAGGAGGTGGGAGGAGGAGAGGGGGAAGGAGGAAGAAGAGGGATGAAGATCGTGGAAGAGGGGCACGGGGAAAGAGGGAGGGCGTCCTCGAAGCCCTTGGAGGCCAGGTGCTTCTGGTCCGCGGCCGCCAGCAGCGACGGGTACTAGCCCACGTATGCCTCCCCTCGACGGAGGTGGGGGCTCTGGCTTTGGCCCCGGGGCGAGTTCGCAACTCGTCGTCGCCGTCGGCGTCGTCGCTGCCCTCGTCGCCCCCCTGCTCCACCTGATCCTCATCCTCGTTTCTTCCGCGCCGATTCCCCTTCTCCTCCTCCTCCTCCTCTTCCTCCTCCTCCTCCTCCGCCTCCTCTTCCTCCTCCTCCTCCTCCTCCGCCTCCTCCTCCTCTTCCTCCTCCTCGTCCTCCTCTTCCTCCTCCATCCCCTCCACCGTGCCCTCCAACTCCTCGTCCTCCTCGTCCTCCTCGTCCTCATGCTTCCCCTCCTCCGTGCCCTCCAGATCCTCGTCCTCCTCGTCCTCCTCCTCCTCCTCACCCTCATGCGTCCCTTTCCTCTGTGCCCTTCAGCTCCTCGTGCTCCTCGTCCTCCTCCGTACGGCCCCTCGGAGGCGGGCGCCGGGGACAGTGCGACGCTGCCCTCTCGTCCTCGTCCTCGACGTCGTCGTCGCCCTCCTCCTCCACCGCTTCGCACTCGCCCTCTCCCTCCCCCTCGCTCTCGTCGACGTCCTTCCTCCCCTTCGCTCACGTCACGTCCTCGTCGTCGTCCTCGTCCTCCACCTGCTCCTCCTCCTCCTCCTCCTCCTCCTGTCCTCCTCCTCCTCCTCCTCCTCCTCCTCCTCCTCCTCCTCCTCCGTCTCGCACTCCCCCTCGTCCTCCTGCTCCCTCTCCATTACTTGATCCTCCTCCTCCTTCTACCCCCCACCGCGAAGACGAGGGCATATAGGAGGACGACAACGACCACGGCGCACGACAGCGGCGCCGACGGCCGCGGCCGCCGCAACGGACAATTCCGACGGGCCGACAACGGCGACGACGGCGCCGCATGACGCTGATGGCGCCGACGCCACCGACATCGACATCGACGACGACGATGACGAATACGACGACGACGACGACGACGACGACGACGACGACGACGACGACGACGACGACGACGACAACTTTCAGCGGCGCCGCACGGCGCGCCCCGCGCGGACCGAGGCGCGCCCCCGCCGCTGCTCAGCAGATGGCCGTCCGGGGGCCGCGGCAGTCCTCGGTCGGCGTGGCGGGCTCACAGCGGCGTCCTCGCCGGCGGGCGGCGCCGAAAGCAACGGCGAAGACGACGACGACTACTCTGTCGACGAGGACGACACTGTCGACGAGGACGACACTGTCGGCGAGGACGACGCACGATGGACGCCGCACGATGGACGGCGGCGACGACGATGACAACAAGGCCAGCGGCGGATGACGACATCGTCGGCCGCATCAGCGGCGACGACGATGGCGGCGGCGACTGCGGCGACGACGACGTTGGCGGAGGTGACGATGGCGGCAGCGGCAACGACTACGGCTTCGGCCACAAGGGAAGTCCACACACACATACACACACACTTTTTTGACTGACAAGTCGAGGGCCCCGCGGCAGAGGAGGGGGGAGGGGAGGGAGGGGCAAGTCCAGCGACAAATTGCTACCCTGGCGGCCCGGGCCGTTCGGCCAGGCGCGCCGCGAGCGCCGCGCGCCACGCCACCTCGCCCCCGCCGGCGCGCGATGTGGGCACCAGGAGGAGCGCTGCCCGCGGCGGCACTTCGCGGGCCCAGCCCGGGTACGGCCGCGCCGCGAGCGCGCGCCACTGCGGCGCCGAGCAGCCGCACTTGAGGCACGCCACCCACGCAGGCCCCTGCATGGCCGCGTGGGCCTGCCAAGCGCGGCCGGCGCACAGCCACAGCGCGCGCGCGCGCGGCCTCGCCAGGCGACGGCGGCGCCACGTCGCCTCCGCGGCCCCCCTCGGCGATTCGCCGGCGGTGCGCCCCGGCGCCAGCTGGCGACGGCTCGGGCGCCGGCGCCGCCTCCATCGCGCCCTGCAGTCGCGGCCAACGGCGAGGGTGAAACCCGGCAGCAGCCCAGCGCCGCCGCCGCAAGCCGCCCTGCCCGCGGCTGCCATGGTTCGCTTTCAGGGCAGCGAGCTCCGCCGCCGCCAGCAGCCGCTGCGCTGCTGCGAGAGCCTGCAGCTGGCAGCCACTGCGCTGCGGCGAGAGCCCGCAGTTGGCG